AAATGCTAGAGGGCAAACCCCTGGACCGCCCAGCGGTACAGGCCGCCCCCCCACCGACATGCCAGAAAGCTCAACGTCGGAGAGGAGGCGGCCGTCCCCGCGGCCCGACGGCGGCGCTCGTGCTCGCAGTCATGACGCACTGCCGCTATAGTGCGCCTGTCAATGCAGGAGCGGCGGCAGCTGTGGTTCACCTGCCGGAGCAGGAGCTGCTGCAGGGGCGTGCCCGTATGGGGCCGCCCGCTCGGGTGGCACGTCATCTCCGGTTGCAGTGCCGCGGGCACCGCGCGCACTCGGAAGCGCCAGATCGGCAGACCCGCCCGCAGGCGCGGCACTCAGGGTCGCTGCCGAACAGCTTCAGCTCGGCGCCCAGCCCCAGGAAGCCGCACGCGGGCAGCAGGGCAGTCGCCAGGACGAACAGCTTCAGGAGGGTCATCTGCAGGGCCAGGTCCGGGGACAGGCACGTCACCAGCACGTGCAGCTTGCTGACCCTCATGCTGCCGACACTCAGGTCGGAGCAGGATCGTGACGTCATTGAGGATCGGGAACAGCGGCTGCGCGCCGCTCTTGTTAACCTTTTGAACGTCCAGATTCAACAGGCTGGCCTTGAGGTTCGTGAACACGAGCCCTTCAGGACTAGAGGCATGACCAGATCAAAACTCAGGAGGACCAGAGTTGAAGGCGAAGCTGAGTGGACGCCCAGGAGGCGGACCGCGAACATTTTCGGGGACCTCAGGGCCCTGCGACAGGTGAACGTCAACGTTGTTCATAAACTTCGCTACGCTCGGCCCTGTGATATGGCGAATGCAACTGTACATGGAATCGATGTTAACACGCTTTTTGGCCAACCTGTCGTCGACCAGGCGGAACTTCCCGCACAGACGAGCCGCCTGCGCGAGGTCCTCGAAGCGGGCGCCGGCAGCAGCAGCAGCAGCCGACTTGCGCAGGAGCTCCGAGTGCATGGAGACCAGGAACAGGCGAGGCACCGCGCAAAAGTCGAGTAGGGGATCAACTACAAAATTGATTCATCCCCGAAATTGACTTTCCCTCGCTCCTAGAAATGGAACAGTGAAACGTTTGTTGACTGCTACGTCTTCCTTCGGCCAATTTTGCATTCGATATCTCCAAATCGAGAAAGCAAGGGGCGAGGAGCGGGGGTGGCTACGCAGGCGTGCGCGCTTGAGCCCAAATGGCTGCGGGGGAGGAGGAGCAGGAGGAAGCGCCAACAGCTGCACCGCTCCCGACCCCGAAGCCAACAGCAACAGGAGCAGCACGAGGAGGAGGAGGAGGAGGAGGAGGAGGAGGAGGAGGAGGAGGAGCAGGAGGAGGAGGAGGAGGAGGAGGAGGAGGAGGAGGAGGAGGAGGAGGGGGAGAAGGAGGAGGAGGAGGAGGAGGAGGAGGAGGAGGGGAGGAGGAGGAGGAGGGGGGAGAAGGATGATGATGATGATGATGATGATGATGAGGAGGAGGAGGAGGAGGAGGAGGAGGAGGAGGAGAGGAGGAGGAGGAGGGGGCGGGAGGAGGAGGAGGAGGAGGAGGAGGAGGAGAAGGAGGAGTAGGAGGGGGAGGAAGAGGAGGGGGAGGAGGAGGAGGAGGAGGAGGAGGAGGAGGAGGAGGAGGAGGAGGAGGAGAACGATGCAGCGATCGAGGACGAAGCGCGGACAGGGGGTCTGGCCCACGTCGCGGAGAGACCATGATGGCCAGATGCCCGGGCGCGGCCCAGGGCGCACCGGGCTCTCGCGAGGCCACCTCCGCGCCCGGGCCTTGAGCTGCGGGAGGGCTGGTGGAACGCACGATCTTGCCTCCCAATACAGTCGGCCCCTATCATAAGGATGCGCGATAGGGGTGCAAGGGCCTTGGAAGTCCATCTCGAGGCTTGCCGAGCGGAGCGCGGCCAGCGAAGGTGGCCATAGATGTGCCGAAGGGGCAAGGATGCGAGGATACCCTTGGGAAAGGTTTCCCGTCCTTATGATGCGGGTTGACTGTGCGGACCAGCCCAGACCTCCGAGGCGTCGCGAGAGCATCACGGCGCAGGTTTTGCTCACGCGCAGCTCGGGCCTCTCGGGGGGTCGTTCTCAGGTCGGGGGCCATTGGAGAGTGCCTGCGGCGCACAGCTGTTCCCGGGAGACGGGGCCGAAAGCTCCGAAGGGGGGCCCACGCCGTGAGAAAGCCCTGCCTTCGGACGTCTGGGCTCCCGCTGCTGATGAGGACGAGTAGAAATTGTTTGAAGAGCGTGGCCGCTGCGACTCTGGCTCTGAGTCGCCCTAGGGATGCCGACTGCTGCAAGCACTCGCTGGCGCCAGCCTGGTGCCCGTCGGACATACAGTGGAAGTCCGAGCATACAGTTCGGACGAGCGTCGGTGCAGCCAGCGGGAAGATCATGCAGTCTAGACGTACGGATTACAGAGGCCTGAGGACTTTGAAAACATCGCCGTAGCAAAACGAGCTCGAGAGGGGCGTGATCTTGCCTCCCCCTCCTCCTCCTTGCGCCTCTGCGTGCTCCCCCTCCCTTTCCTCCTCGCCCTTCTCTCCCTTCTCTCCCTTCCCCCTAGACTCTCTTACGCAGCTGAGCACTCTGAATACTATTCTCCCACCTCCCCTGAAGTTGTCCAGAAGCTCTCCTGCCCCATCCGCGTGCTGTTGTTGTTGTTGTTGTTGTTGAACATTATTAATTCTAAAGAATAATTATTGTTGGGGCCCCTGGTGCACGGCCCCCCTGCGCCGCCTGGGCCGCAGCTACATTTTCATCATTTTCGTGAGGAAGCCTCAGGTAATTCGATGTGATCAAGATCCGGTTGTTTTGTTCCCCCCCGCTTTCCCTTGCAAAAAACACTATAAAATGACATTTCTTGTTCTAATATAATCAAATTTCAAGAATCCCTTGCGAAAGTGGACATTCGCGCGCGCAAGACGAAATCCTTCCAAAAGCTTAGTGTTCAACATAAAAACATCAAAAAACCAATGGTTTTTCAACAAAAAATGTCAAAATCTCATCCCGCGCGCTCTTGCGGATTCGTAGGAAACCCAACACTTTTTAAACATTTCTGTCAAACGGGCTTTTGCGAGCAACTTTTTCGAACTTCTGCGACAACGGTTGCGCACCTGCCAGGGCCATCATCCCTGTCAAATAATACCATGCGGGACACATTCGTTTTTTCTTCGCGCGCGCACGCCGTCGTCGTCGGCCGCGGGGCCCTGAATAGTAGCCACGGTCGTCCGCATGCCACGAAGTGAAGTGTCCGAACGTCATAGGGCGGGAAGCTGGGTGTGGGTGGTGGCGAAGAGTCGTTTGGAAATTTGGTAGAGCTTGAACCGGCCCCCCCACAAAGTGGGGGTATTGCCCGCCTCCTATGAAAACCCTGGCACTGGTGAGAACGGAGTGTCCCCAGTCTTAAATGATTGTTGTTGTTGTTGTTGTTGTTGTTGTTGTTGTTGCTCTTTCTTGCCTGGAGACTAATTTTTGTTGATCCGCCCCACCGGTGCATACGGTTTTTCTCAATCAATGTGCGCCCCTCGACGCTCGCACCCTGCTTTCTTGTCAGGGAAAGTCTTGACGCTCAAGCTGTGCCCCTGGCCCCCTGCATTACAACAACAACGGCTCCCGCCTGAGATTTCTTCCAAATTTACTCAGGACCCCCGTTCCCGCTTGAAAATTCCTCACAGTTTACTCAGGATCGGTGCTCCCGCCTTTGACTTCCATGCAATTTCGTCAGGACCCTCGCTCCCATCTGAGACTTCCTCACAATTTACTCAGGAACGGCGCTCCCGCTTGAGACTTCCTCGCAATTGAGTCAAGACTTCCTCGCAATTCAATCAAGACACCCGCTCCCGCCAGAGAACCCTTCACATTTTACTCAGGAATTGCGCTCTCGCCTGTGACTTCCATGCAATTTATTCAGAAATCGCGCCTTCGACGCTCAGGAAACACGCTGCGCCAAGGACGCCGTCACAATTTACTTAGGAATCGCGCTCTCGCCATACTCAGGCATCCCGCTTGAATGTCCCACCCGCCCGACCCGCCCGTCAGGGGATCGCCCGCCCGTCGTGGGCTCCCGCCCGAGACTTCCTTCAGGAACGGCGCTTTCGCCTAGGACTTCCTCGAACGTTCACGCTCTTACCTTCCTGCTTCTTCTCCCTCTCCCTCCTCCCTCTTCCCTCCTCTCTTGCCTTCTCTCTCCTTCCTTTCTTCTCTCATCCTTATGCCTCTCTGCCCTATCCCCTCGCCCTCATCTCCCTCCTCCCTTCTCCCTCCCCTCTCCTGCCTCCTCCCTCTTTTTTCCCAACCATCCTGTGGTGTTGGGTCCTCGTTTTGAAGAGACGGCGCCCCGCGTTCCTCACCTCCTCCTCCTCCCCCCCCCCTCCCTCCTCCCATCATCATCATCATCATCATCATCATCATCATCAGCAGCAGCAGCAGCATCATCATCATCAGCATCATCAGCATCATCATCAGCATCAACATCATCATCATCATCATCATCATCATCATCATCATCTTCATCATCATCATCATCATCAGCATCATCATCATCACCACCGATTTCGGCACACCCCTCACACGTTTCGTGGCCCCATAGGGAGCTCCACCGAAGGCCCCAGTGGCAGGGTCCGCATGCCCCCCACCCACCCATTTCGGCACACCCCTCACACGTTTCGTGGCCCCATAGGGAGCTCCACCGAAGGCCCCAGTGGCAGGGTCCGCATGCCTCCCCACCACCCATTTCGGCACACCCCTCACACGTTTCGTGGCCCCATAGGGAGCTCCACCGAAGGCCCCAGTGGCAGGGTCCGCATGCCTCCCCACCACCCATTTCGGCACACCCCTCACACGTTTCGTGGCCCCATAGGGAGCTCCACCGAAGGCCCCAGTGGCCCCAGGGTCCGCATGCCTCCCCACCACCCATTTCGGCACACCCCTCACACGTTTCGTGGCCCCATAGGGAGCTCCACCGAAGGCCCCAGTGGCAGGGTCCGCATGCCTCCCCACCACCCATTCGGCACACCCCTCACACGTTTCGTGGCCCCATAGGGAGCTCCACCGAAGGCCCCAGTGGCAGGGTCCGCATGCCTCCCCACCACCCATTTCGGCACACCCCTCACACGTTTCGTGGCCCCATAGGGAGCTCCACCGAAGGCCCCAGTGGCAGGGTCCGCATGCCTCCCCACCACCCATTTCGGCACACCCCTCACACGTTTCGTGGCCCCATAGGGAGCTCCACCGAAGGCCCCACGTTCGCATGCCTCCCCACCACCCATGTCGGCACACCGCTCACACGTTTCGTGGCCCCATAAAGGGGGCTCCACCGAAGGCCCCAGTGGCAGGGTCCGCATGCCTCCCCACCACCCATTTCGGCACACCCCTCACACGTTTCGTGGCCCCATAGGGGGCTCCACCGAAGGCCCCAGTGGCCTGGGTCGTATGCCTCCCCACCACTCATTTCGGCACATCCCTCACACGTTTCGTGGCCCCATGGGGATTTTTCCTTTGAAGGCCCCAGTGACTGGGTTCGCACGCGCCCCCACACCCATTTCGGCACACCCATCACACGTTTCGTGGCACCATAGGGAGCTCCACCGAAGGCCCCAGTGGCTGCGTTTGCATGCCGCCCCCACACCAATTTCGGCACACCCCTCACACGTTTCGTGGCCCCACAGGGAGCGCCACCGAAGGCCCCAGTGGCTGCGTTCGCATGCCGCCCCCACACCAACTTCGGTGCACCCCTCACACGTTTCGTGGCCCCATAAGGAGCTCCACCGAAGGCCCCAGTGGCAACGTTCGCATGCCGCCCCCACACCCATTTCGGCACACCCCTCAAACGGTTCGTGGCCCCATAGGGAGATCCACCGAAGACGGTACTCACACCAGCATTACTCACAATTGCATATGGTTGGGTCCTTCGCCAGGCTAATGTTTGTTTTCTCTCTCGCTCTCTCTCTCCCCCCTCTCTCTTCCACTACCTCTCTTATCTGCCTTTCTCGCTCTCTCTGCCTCTAATCAACCACCCCCCCAGTTCGCTCCTTCTCTCCTGGCGCTTTGCCTCTTCCTTCGTTCCTCCCCCTCCCTTCCTCCCGCTCTCCCTCGTTCTCCCCCTCCTCTTTTTGCAGGGCCCACACCAATTCCAATGGCGGGCACATGTACGCCCACGAAGGATTGTCCGCCCGTTCAGGTTTGCCCGCCTGTCTAAGCCGACGACGAGAACGACGACAACGACGAGGGAGGAGGGAAGACGACGACGACGACGACGGCGACGAAATAGGAGGGACGACGACGAGACGCCGACGACGGACGACGGCGACGACGGCGGAGGAGGAGGAAGGACGACCACGGCGACAACGACGACGGAAACGACGACGACGCCGAAGAGGACGACGACGACGACGACGAGGAATGACAGAGGACGACGACGGCGACGACGACGACGACGACGACGAGGGAGGAGGGAGGACGGCGACGACGACGACGACGTTGCAAGTGCGCGCGCGCACGCTTTTGTTGAAAATCCGTATTGCGAGACGCGGTTTTTGGTTGTTTAATGTTTTTTTTGCCATTCGATTTTGAATCTTTCCTCAACCGAGGGTTTTTAACGGATTTCGGCATTTGCGCGCGACGACGCGCGCGCGTGTACTTCGTCCCTGGTTTTTTCTGGAGGGTTCTCGCGACGGCACGCGCGCAAGGGCGTTCGGAAGATTTCGACATGCGCGCGCGAAACCCGTGTGGTAGTTGTTTTTGGTGGAAAGTTCAGAAACACTTCCGATGTTTTCGCAAGATTTCGCAAGAGCGCGCGCGAGTGAGCTTTTTTAGGACATCAGTGTTGCGAAAGTTGTTGCTCTTGTCGTTTTTGTGTTGGAAGTTCGATTTCGAAATCCTTCCAGCACCGAAGGTTTTTGAAGGATTTCGGCATGCGCGCGCGACGACGCGCGCGGGTGCACTTCGTCTTTGTTGTTGTTGTTGGTGATGATGTTGTTTTCCCAAGGGATTTCTGCAAACGTATGATGTTTGATAAACGAGTGTGCGCGCATAGTACTTGTGCAGCGGATGGAGGGGGGGGGATCGATACCGGTTTGGCTGGGATCATTTGAATTCACAGGTAGGATGGACATTGGGTCAGAACCCTATGTGTTTTGCATCGGTTCAAAGGGGATCTTTAAGCCCGGGGGTGGTGGTGGTGGTGGTGGTAGAACTTTTTTTTTGGACAGGAGAATCGATGTGGTGCAAGGCACCAGTGCTCGCAAGGAGTTGTCAACTCCATTGCTCGCGTAATCATCCCACCCGCCCACCTGCAACTTGGTTTGCAAATTCCATGCGGGGGCTATTTCGATGAGTGCTTGGCGTTGGCTGGTGCATCTCTGCGGCTACGCTAGCCCGCGCATGCTCGCGCGCGCAGCGGCCAGCTAGTGCGGCGCAACCGGCGCGGCCGCGGTGGCGCTGACCGCTGGGCACTTCCCAGCGGGCACTTCAGTGCGAGTCGGTGAGTTGGGCGGGCGCGGTCTCATCTTGACACC